CCCCAAAACCCCAAAACCCCAAAACCCCAAAACCCCTCTCTTCTCCTCTAAGGTTGAAGGGCATATAGCCAATAAGTTGAGTAAGTTATCTTGGGAAGCACTCAATGTCATCCCTAATCAAGGAAGCTATCTCATGCACCTGGATATTCATCTGGCTTCTCTGCATGACGGCCAGCTCATTGAGAAGGAATTCAGGATCACCCTTCTCAAAGTAGCCTTCATAGGTGCTGAAGAAGTTTCTAATGTCCTCAATCGTTAGGCACTCTTTGTCTTTCATCACAAGAGTGAAGATGGTTTTTATTGTCTCATATGGATCAATATTGACATCGTTGGTAGCTTCTTGAATTGCCTGGATAAGGTCCTCTGGCTTAATACCTTCATCCCCAGACTTCTTCACAAGTAAGAACTTCTCAAAAAGAGTTCCTTCAGTGCCACAAAGAGGAAAGAATTTTGAAATATCCATTGATTCACGATTTTGATTGTCTTTAGACAGACTTAAGGAGTAATTCTCCTCAATGAGCTTCTTAGTAGGAGTTTCTAGTTGCTTATCCTTCAGTTCAACATTGAAATAATCTATGAGCTCCCTTCTGATAATCTTGAACACCTTATAAAGTCTGAATGAGCGTAGGGATCTCTGGTATCTCTGCTCCTTAATAGTTTCATCGATCATATCCTTCTTCTTCATCATCTGAATGCTGGTAATTACTACTAAATTGAAGATGTTCCTAGGAAATACAACCAGAAGGTTATAGAGCCCGATTAGCAAGGACACCAGCATGATGATGTAATCTATATTTCCATTCCTAGTAATGTAATAATCTTCAGTTCCTTCTCTGAGTAAATACTTGTACTCAACCAAGTGTGATATCCAAAGAATCATCTGAACGAAGAAAGATTGCATCCAGAGCTTTTCTAGGAAGATTCCAAATTTGCCCAAGTAGAAGAGCCTCTCATGTCTGTTCTGGGATGTGCCCAGGAAAGACTCAGAGCTCTTAAATAAATTCTTTTCTTCTTCGATAGATTTTTCCGACTCTTCACCACAGATAGAGTCGTTGAGACCATCTTGGATGGATTCAGACTTACTTTTTGATTTATTCCTGGATCTGACTCCGTTCATGACAGAGTCATCATCAGATTCTGAGGAGCCTTCTTCAGAGTCATCTTCGACAGCCTGACTGTGAATATCCTTCATGTAGGCAGGACAAGGCGTGCTTTTGGCAAGCTCGAAAGGATCTTCAATCTCTAAGTTCGATTCAAAGTAACTTATCCCAGAGATGTTCAATTTTGGGTTGAGGTTTTTATAAATTCTCTTGTATTGCCTGTTCTGAATCCAGAGATATATAAAAGAGGTCACTGGGAATAAAACCATTAATACACTCTGGAAAAGGATGTCAATCATGCTACACACTTTCCAGAATAAGACAACACAGAAAATAATCAAATAAGCTTGGTGGTCGAATGAAAATAGTTTTGACAAAAATTCAGAGAGGCAATGACCAAAATATAAAGCAAGGTCAAAATCCTTTCTAAGGTAAGATTCTGTCACCGTGGGTAATTCTACAGGACTAATAAAGCTCTGTTTCATAAGAATATATTCTACTGTCCCCTTAAGTCCTTTCTCCACACCTTCTGGACCGTAGTACTGATTCTCAAAATCGACCTTCATTTGGCTAAGTTTAGCTCTATCCTTAGTAACTTTCTCAAATTCATTAAACACTTTTATTTTCTTGAAGGAGGCCTTCATTATAAAATATCCAAATATCATATAGCAGAGGATGAAGAAGAACATGCCGTACAGGACATTGTCCACACTAGTGTTGAATGAGGTGAAACCTTCATAATAGTGAACGATGAGGACCACCAACATGATTCCCACCATGAATGAGATATCTTTCAGCAACGAGTAGTAAGCATTTCTCTCGAATGATTCCTTTTGCTGCACTAAGAAGAAATTCGTATTCATGAACAGGAACTTGATTGCCACAAACAAGGTCATGATGAAGATGACCAAGCTGAAGGTATGGCCTGGGTTGTCTTCCTTCTCTGACTTAAGCACCTCTCCTGGGTTGTTGGCCTCCTAGAGATATGAACATGAGCTATACCATCCCAGCAACGGTCTCGAGACGAGATCCTGAATTTGGCATCTCTGGTGCTGATTCTGACTCCTCTTCATCTAAGAATTCTACAGTAAGGCTAAAAAGAGATACCTTCATAGCTGTCTCTGTTATAGATGGTCTCCCAGGCGTGTTCCTGGTGGAACTTTCTACTTGGCAGAGAATCCTCATTATAATCATAATAATTGTGGTTTAGCCTTGTTCTTCCGTACTCATAATCGTCTTCATAGCTAGAAATAAGATTTACTCCAGAAATTCAAGAATGAGCTCAAGGGTTTTAAGAGAATTTGGAACTAGAAAACAGAAAATTCAGAAATTTCTCAATATTGACTACATTAACCTGGAAAATGTTGTTATCTGACAAAATATTTTCGTTGGATTAATAAACTTACTAATCATCATTAAACTCTCTGTTGAAGGAAGGATTGTAACTCTCATCATCATATCTCATCTTTCTTGCTCTTGAGATTAACAACAAAAGGGAGAGAATTCAGACAATTTTAGCAACCATATTTTTCTGAATAAATCTCATATTTAATAAAAAGTTGCCTAAAAGGGGTTTTGGGGTTTTGGGGTTTTGGGGTTTTGGGG